ATCAACGAGCTGTATATTTAAAATTAGAAAGTCTGGCGCGAAACCAACCAAACTGTAATCTCTTTCTATTGCCTTCTACGCACATAACTTCAGACTACAGACACACACACATACATTTGTACACACACACGTGCACACACACGTACACACACACACACGTACACAAACACAGACACACACATACATATATAAATGTAAAGACCCCCTTTCACGATAAGCCTGTTTAGTTTAAGACGTTTATGTTGTTTAACGCGTTTATATTATATGGACGCATGTGTGTGTGTGAACACATGTATTCACACACACACACAAACACACAGATAAGATGTAGAAAAACAGTGAAAAAATGACAGACAAAAAGAAGGAAACAGACAGACAGAAAAATAGCCAATGCAGAAAAACGTTTAAAAAACAGAAAAAAGAGAGCGGAAGAAAAGAGTAAAAAAAGAGATATAAGTATGCATGTTTGTTTGTATGTATGTATGTACGTATGTTTGTTGTGTATGTGCGTGGTGTGTGTGTACGTCTGTATGTTTGTTTGTACGTCTGTATGTTCGTTTGTACGTGTATATGTACGTCTGTATGTTTGTATGCACGTATGCGTGTACGTATTTATGTATGTCCCTTTATTGTTTTTGCATCCGGCCTTATATTTCACTTTAACGCCTTTTTTGTGAGTTGAATTGCATTAATAAAATGTTTGCTTCTGTTGTTGGCGGCAACGATGACGATGACGTTGTCGTTATTATTATTATTATTAATTATTATTATTATTATTTATCATTATTTTCCCCGCTATTATTATTATTATCATTATTATTGTGACCGGCTATGCCAAATTAAAATTTGCTCTAACAATACTACGAAGCTACCGACATCACAACATCAACAACAACAACATTATCATCAACAACAACAACATCAACAACAACAACAATAACAATAATAACAATACAATTATTAGTAATACAAATAATAATAGAAACAAGAATGTGCCTGATATATTCCAGTTTTCAATTCCACATCCAAAAAGCTTTGTTCCTATTTAATAAATAAATTAATTAACTAATAAATAAATTAATTATATAATTTTATAATTAGTTAGTAATAATAATAATTATATTTGTAATAGTATTCTTGTTCGCTTTAATTCAAAAACTGCCAAAGTACTATACAGTTAATGTTGTTAATGCAATGCTAATAAGTATAAATAACCCTCATTAATATTCATGGGCTCGTTAGGGAGATTTTAATAATTAGCTCAATTGATTATCATAATGGTGTAACTAATTATCATAATCTCAATTTGTTATAATGGACCTTCAAATCCATTTGAACGGCCAGTGGCAATTTGTCATAATTCCCCATCAAGTTCGTGAGACTCGCTCTGATTGGTTCACTGGCGAAGGCTATGCTTGAGCTGGTTATGAATAAATTATGCTAATTTGTGAAAATAACAACAATAATGAAAATAATAAGAATAACAATGATAACAAAACATTTTTTCAAAATCTTTTTATCAGATTTCGTTAAAAATCCACTGAAATTAAACCGAAAACAAAATATAATTTCTTTTAAAATTCTATAAAAGTATAAAATCTATAATAATGACGTTATAACGTTTCAATGACGTCATTGCTTATTTTGTGTTTTCTTGTTTGTTTACATTTCCGTTCATCCATTTTAAATGATATAGAAAAATATTTACTTATTTTCCTCCAGACGATCGTATTTCGGTGGATAAACACTACTAGTGTTGTTGCTACTAATGCTACTACTGCTACTACTGCTGCTGCTGCTGCTGCTGCAACTACTACTGCCGTGCTGCTACTACTGCTACTGCTGCTTCTACTACAACAACTACTACTATTACTACGTTTGGTTGATTATCTTCCATCGAAAGAAAAAAATAAATAAATAATTGAAATTTAATTTTCCTGTGAACTTGGCACGGTCTCTTATCATCATCGTCGTCGTCATCGTCGTCATTATCATCGTCATCAGTGACAACAGTAGCAGCGTCATCGTCGTCATCAGCTGTAGCAGCAGTAGTAGCTTCATCATCGTCTCGTCATAATCGCCATCCTTTACATTGTAATCAGTTTTGTCATCATCGACGCGATTAAACCAGCATCAATAATAATGTCATCATCATCATCATTGTCATCGTCGTCTTCGTCGTCATTGCCATCAACCAGTCAGTCATTTATTCTTTCATTTGTTTATTCACGCATTCATTCATTCATTCATTCATTCATTCATTCATTCATTCAAGCGCGCTTTTTATTCATCCACTCACTCATTTTTTTACTCATTCAGTCACTCACAGATTGACTGACCACGTGATTAAGAGCCTGTTACGTCACGCATCATGACGATAAGAACGGCGATGATGATGATGATTATGACGATGTTGATGATGATGATGACTCAAGGTAAACAAACCCATATATCACAGTTTATTTCCGTAAAAGCTCTCCACATCAATAATATTATAATCGTCATCGTCGTCGTCATCATCATCTCCTCCTACACCATCATCATCCTCATCGTCGTTATCATCATGATCATCATCAGCAGCAGCAGCAGCATCATCATCAGCAGCAGCAGTAGCAGCAGCAGTAGCAACATCATCGCCTCTAATCTCGTCTCATAATCTTCACCATCTAATTGTCAATCATTAATCTTACATCCTAAGTAGGCCGTTTATTTGGTCATATTACTAACTTACTGCTACTACTACTACTACTATTACTACTACTACTACTACTACTACTACTACTACTACTACTACTGCTACCACTACTACTACTACTAACACTACTACCACCACCACCACTACCACCACCACCACCACCACCACTACTACTACTACTACTACTACTACTACTACTACTACTACTACTACTACTACTACTACTACTACTACTACTACTACTACTACTACTACTACTACTACTACTACTACTACTTGGCTACTTGAGTACAGCATCACCTGTCAGATCTCGCAGCTAATTGAAAAAAACTTTTTGCTTGACCATTACTATTATCAGGACCACCACATCAAATTTTCATCGTCATCATCGTTGTCGTCGTCGTCGTCATCATCACCATGATTATCGTCATCATCATCACGATTATCATTTTTAATGTAATTTTTATAAAGTATGTGAATCTTTCACATACAGTCACACGCTCATTCATTAGTTTCTTCTTACACACGCTCATTCATTAGTTTCTTCTTACACACGCTCATTCATTAGTTTCTTCAGTCACACGCTCATTCATTAGTTTCTTCTTTCTTCACTGCATTCGTTCGTTCATTCATTCATATATTCATATTCACTCATTTACTCACTCACTCACTCACTTACTCACTCTCTCTCTCTCACTCACTTGCACTCCTCGACCGGATGTAGCATTTTGATGACCTTGTTGTGTCTGACCTTCCCCATATTGTCAAGGTCACGCCTCAGAAGTTCAGCCACCATTTCGCGTCTTTTTGGCTTGTGCAGTTTCTCAGCTACTTTCTTCTCGAAGATGAATAGAGATGATTTCTAAGGTGTGTGTGTGTGTGTGCGTGTGTGCGTGTTTTGGTGTGTCTGTGTGTGTGCGTGTGTGTGTTTTAGTGTGTCAGTGTGTTTGCATCAGTTATTTATTTATTCATTTACTTGTTCGTTCGTTCGTTCGTTTGTTCGTTCATCTATTTATTCATTCTTTGATTTTATTTTACTCATTCAGTCTATTCGTTTATTTATTTGTTTTTTTGTGTATTTATTCATTCATTCACTCATTCATTTATTCATTCATTCACTCATTCATTCATTCATTCACTTTTTTTAAAAATGAAATTTGTAGTACAGTCGACGACGACGATGATGATGAAAAAGATGATGATGATGGTGATGATGACGAAGACAATGGTTATGATGATGATGGTGGTGGTAATGATGATGATGATGGTAATGATGAATGATGGTGGTTCTGCCGAAACTGTAAGAGTGAGTTGATTTATTATTGATGATGACTATGATGTTGTTGTAGTTTTCGTTGTCGCTGCTGTTGTAGTAGTTGTTGATGATGATGTAGTTGATGTTGTTATTGTTGTTGTTGTTGATGATGTTGTTGTCGTTATTTTTGCTGGTGTTGTTGTGTACATTCTTACTGTTAAATTTTGTAAAACCTTCAATCCTCATAAAGACTGGTTCTATATTATTAACTACAAATCATTATTAGTTTTAATATTAACTTCGTTATTATTATCTTATTATTGTTATTAATATTATATTATTATTATTATTATTATTATTTATTACTATTATTATTATTATTCCGTTATAAATGCAAATGCTTCAGCGATCTCTTCATCGATATGTGCATTATATTTATGACTCAGGCCTTAACATCAGGTCAAAATAGAAGGATTTATGAATAATTATAATATAAACAAACAAATATGACTCTCTCTCTTTCTCACACTCTCTTTCTCTCGTTCTCTCTCTCTCTCTCTCTCTTCATCTGTCTTTCCTTCTCTCGTTATTTTTTTCTCTTTCTTTTTCTGTGTGTGTGTCTTTGTGTGTGAATGTGTGTGCGTGTCTGTGACGGTGTGTGCGTGTGCGTGCGTGCGATGTATAAATTATTGGATTATAATTATGGTTAATCTTCTTCAGACAATTCTTACCTCGTACCTGTATGTGTGAAAACCATTAGCAATCCTCTTTTGTTTCATGTAGATACGTAGGTTAGTATTATATAACAATGAATGAGCGGACAAGTTAATAAATAAGACATTTAACTGGTTGTCATCGTTCTAAACTAATTGCAAGGTAATTTTGCATTTAAATAAAATTCTCTATTAAATTGAAAGCAGGTATGTCTGTGTGTATGCTTATATGTGTGTGTGTGTCTATGTGTATGTATGCATGTCTGTGTGTGCGCATTTATGCATGCATGCATGTATGCTTGCATTAATGCATGCATGCATGCATAATATATGTATCCATGAAAAATATAATGTTGATTGTATAAATTAAGATGAATGTGTGGTTTTAAAAGCCGGTAATAATGAAGGAAGAATTACTAGATGTAAATAAACACACACAAAGACATACACACACACTCACATACATACACACATACATACACACACATACATACATACATACATACATACATACATACATACATACATACATACATACATACATACATACATACATGTGTTAATCCATTTGTTACTTGGTTAGACGGTTCAGTGTCACTCATCATGTTTTGGTTTTAACATACATACATACATACATACATACATACATACATACATACATACATACATACATACATACATACATACATACATACATACATACATACATACATACATACATACATACAAACATACAAACACACACACACACACACACACACACATACATACATACATACATACATACATACAAATACCCATAAATACACAACACGAAACGGGCTTGTTTTCATATTTTAAAAGCATTGGTGTTTTGGTTTTGTTTTTAATCGTGTAGGTTTAGGAATAATAATAACAATAACAACAACAATAATAATAATAATAATAACTGTAATAATAATAATAATAATAATAATAATAGAGGCTTTGAAGTAAAATTAATAGTAGTTCTTGTTGTACGTCGCATATTTTACTCTTCAAATTTTTTTTTTCAAACTTGTTCATTTCATTTTTATTAATCACCATTTTCGTGGCGATGGTTGTTATCGTTGTCTTCGTCATCATTTCATCCTTTTATTATTATTATTATTATTATTATTATTATCATTATTATTATTATTATTATTCAGTTTTCGGAATTAATTTTTTCAAATTTTTCATATCCTCGTCGTTCGGTGTTTCAGTGCTTCAAATGAATTTCTCTCGGATCTAACTAATGACAATCATCATCACTCATTTTAATGTTTATAATATTATATCATTATTTTATTATTATATGTATATATATAGAAAGAGAGAGAGATAGAGAGATAGAGAGAGAGAGAGAGAGATTTAAACAACGTTTTCAGCGTCAAAGGAAACAGCAGTCATCATCATCACCCATCATTCTCACAGTCATCTTCACCACCATCCTCATCATCATCTTCATCATCCTCAACATCAGAAGCCATTATTTTCCAGATATTAATACTTTAGTACGTAGATAAGCATGCTGGAGACGATTAAATGTAAACTGGAACCTTCATTTTAATAGGTCATTGATGATAGAATCTTAACGCTCTGGTACATTCAAGTACAGTCCGCAGTAACATTTAAGTACCAAAAATGAACAACGTAATTGTTTGGCTTGGTTAAAGGCGCCTGGTATTGAGTTTGCGTGCCGAAGTTACTGGCTTCAAATGCAAAAAGATTCTTTTGCATTATTCGCAAAAATTGTATTTGCACTCATATATGTTGTATTTGTTGTTGCTGTTGTTTGTGGTTGATGTTTGTTGTTGGTGTTGTTTTTTGTTGATTTTGTTTGTTGTTGATGTCGTTCATTGTTGTTTGTTGTTGTTTGTTTTTGTTGTTGTTGTTGTTGTTGTTTAGTGAATGTTTATTGTTGATGTTGTTGTTGTATCAGAGATCCATAATAACATATTTTTACTGACTGGTAAGCTGTCTCTAGAGCCTGTATCTAGCATATTCTTTTGCACATGCTTGCATAATATGGAAAAGAAAAATTAAGCAAAACCAACAACAACATTAAAAACAACACGAGAAATAAACAATAACAAAAACCTCAAATAAACAACAACAGAGAAACAAAACAATAACGACATTCAAACGTAAACATCAACAACAATATATAAACAACAACAACATAGACAACAAAACATAGACAACGAAACATAGACAAAAAAGCAAAGACAACAAAACAAAAAATTACATAATCAAAGAAACATTGAATAGTAGTCATAAACAACAAAAATGCACGCGACACTTACGTCATGAGCATCAATAATAACATCATCATTGTCATCATCGTCAACAACAACAACAACATTGCCAACAACAAAAGCAACAAAAACAACAACATCAACAAATTAATGACATGAAAATAATCAAAAACTATCTAAAACATCAGTATAAATAACTACAACACCAACAAAACAATCATACAAACAAACGAACAAGCAAACAAACAAACAGACAAGCAAACAAGCAAACAAACAAACAAACAGACAAACAAACAGACAAACAAACAGACAAACAAACAAACAAACAAACAACAACAGCAACAACAACAACATCCGCAACATCAGCAACAAAAAAGCATACAAACCATGCATACATAAACAAAACAGACGATAAGCTCCTATTGAACGTCGCATGACACATACAACAAAACATGCACATGAATGGGCGTGTATGTTTGTATGTATGTTTGTATGTATGTATGTATATATATATATGTATGTACATATGTACGTATGTATGTATGTATGTATGTACGTACGTGTGTGTGTGTGTGTGCGCGTGTGTGTTAAGGTATTATTAACTAAGTGAAGGAATGAAGGATAGATGGATGAATGAATAAATAGATAGATGGATGAATGGATGGATAGATGATTGAACGGACAAATGTAAAATTATGTCTATCCAGTAAATGTCAAAAAATGAATGAATGAATTAACTAACAAATGAAGGAATGAATAAATAAATGAGTGAATGAACGAATAGATAAACGAAAAATGATTGAATGAGTGAATAAGTGCCTGAATGAATGAAATAAAGAAAGAAAGAACGAACGAACGAACGAACGAACGAACGAACGAACGAATGAATGAATGAATGAATAAATGAATGAATGAATGAATGAATGGGATAATCCTTAAGTTTGATAGATGATAAGATTTTGGAATAAAATATGCCATACTAGAATTACTGTTTATATTTTTCAAAAAAATAAAATAAAGTAAACAAAATGAAAATAAATTATAAACAAATAAAATAAACTGAACATAAATACAAAAATAAAACCAAAGAATAAAAAGAAGTAAACCTAATGAATGAGAGAAAGAACAACTGGTTTAAATCAATGAATGAATCAATGCGAAGATTGATGGAAGAATAATGAATGGATGAACCAACAAACGAACGAACGAATGAACAAACGAACGAATGAAAAACGAACAAACGATTAAACGAACGATACGAATGAATGAAGGATCGTATGACTAATTGAATAAAAGAGTAAAAATAATAAACCAAACTAAATGATGGAGTGTGTGAATGAATGAATATTATAAATAATAATAAATGAGAAAGGAAGTTTGTAAGTGAAGAATGAATGAATGAAAGAATGAATGAATGAATAAAGGAATGAATGAACAAACGAACGAAACGAAAGAGAAAAAGAAAGAATGTATGAATGAATGATTGACTGAATGAATGAATGAATAAATGAATGAACGATTGAAAAATACCTTGCTTTTTGTAATTTGTAAAAGTATTGTTCTACAAAGATTAATATTTGATCATTAATCATCATCATCAACACCACCATCAGCCCCCACCATCGTCGTC